TTTTGAAAGGTTTTGCTACCAGCTTAGCCTTACTGAGAATTTAGGAAACGTACTCTATCGTGATATACGGAGGAGCAATTTCTTAAATTCAGAGAACGTGAACCGGGTTGTACATGCTGTTGTCATCTGAAATCAGCAATTACGATCTCTCCAAGGTCAGCACATTTCACCGTCGAAGGCGGTCTTAGTATACACAACATCAAGAATATAAGTAAAAGTAAGTTATTTACAAGATTATTGCACGATTCCTTTGAGATCTGTCATAATTTCAAAAGGCCCAAGTGAGAATTAAGGAATTTTCCAGTGAATTTGACAGTTATACACCATTCCACTGAGCTCAATAAACGAAACTAATAGAAATTGAAGGAATAGATAAAAAAACGAAAGCTCTGAGAATGCATATTACCTAAAACTTTCTCGAACATTTCTCAAAAAAGAGCAGGTTTCACTGAAAATGTCCCAATTCAAATGAGCGAGGAGATGATGTAATGGATAACTTAACAGGATGATAGATGGATGCGCGGCGTGTCCCCCAGCGGGTTGTGCCGTGCATTGTCCCATGCTAAACGCTTAATCCAGATATGCTACACTCTATTTTGATTTCACAAAAATTTCAATATTTCAGCAAGATTAGCCATAAAAATCACCTGTTCTGATAATACGCTCTATCGTGTCACACCCGTTTATGCAATTCTGGAACCAGAGGAAGTTGTTGTATTGAATGTGGGTTCAGTTTGAACATTTACTTACTTAGATAAGCCTTTAGCTAGAGTCTCTTAGAAGTCATCGTAAACGGATATATTTTAAGATAGGAAGACTCGATGGTCAGCCGAAAAAAGATCGCCTTGGAATTCTAATGATCGATTTCAATGGTACGGGTAACGCCAAGGACGCTTTCAAGGTGAAGTGGTTTCTCTTATTCCGAGAACATAGTGACTATGATCGTGCCTTTCTCCTCCCAGATAGGTCTGGTACCTATAACACGATCCCGGCTTGGCTGGCTTGGCCGCATATCGATCCGGGAGTAGAACTCTTGGCCATGCGTTTGTGATAGTGGGCCACTGCCACTACACCACTTTTCCGTAAATACCATTAATAGTCTTTACCAAACCTTCCTAACACAACCCATTTCAGCGCACGGATTTGCGACCGGTGACCGTCAACATTCCTTTGATCGTTAAAGAAGGCTGATATATCATTCCAAAGGCGTTGGACACAATGAATGCATGGTCAGCCCAGATCGTCCACCAAAGGATCGTTCCTCATCTCCAGTTGACAGTTGGCAGCTGCCTCTGAACATAGGGGCAGACAGCCTCTACCATGCCGACTATCATGCCTTTAGTCTCCGCCCATACACTCATCTTGTGTTCTGCCTTTAACTATATGTACTTTTTCTTACTGTATGATTATCTTCGAACTCTTCAAAGTTGTGTATGCCTTCTTTCAAAGTCACATACCCTGAAAACTTAATTTTTTTTTTTNAAATTGTTGGGAACGTTTCCTCGTATGAAACTAGAAAATCTTTGGAATCCTATTGGTTAGTAGTATTTTGATCATATGGTACTTTCATCAAAAAGTAATGTGTTCGAAGGTATAACGCAATTTATTACTATGTTGTAATCCATGAGCCAGTCAGGATTCCTGTAGGGTTTCTATCTTTTTATTTTGAACTGTTTTGCACCACTTTCCCTATTTGGCACTTTTCCTGCAAGGCGTTTTTTCCGCATTCTTTTTGTGACTGTATTGAAGCTATTCTACCCGCTGTAGTCACCCTACACAGAAAGAATGCATAGACTTCAAGCTGAACCCTTCAAATCTCACTACTGGCCCTCAAATTTGCTATACCGTAGTTCTTTTTTCCTGTCTGTAGGGTAATAGAGATCTAAGTTTTGACGCTCAACGCACTTATTCAGCAAGTGGATGGATATATGTAGATTCAATTCGCCTAATACAAAAACTTGAGTTCCATTTTTGAAAGGTTTTGCTACCAGCTTAGCCTTACTGAGAATTTAGAAAACGCACTCTATCGGGATATACGGAGGAGCAATTTCTTAAATTCAGAGAACGTGAACCGGGTTGTACATGCTGTTGTCATCTGAAATCAGCAATTACGATCTCTCCAAGGTCAGCACATTTTACAGTCGAAGGCGGTCTTAGTATACACAACATCAAGAATATTAGTAAAAGTAAGTTATTTACAAGATTATTGCACGACTTCTTTGAGATCTGTCATAATTTTCAAAAGACCCACGTAAACGTTTGGGAATTTTCCAGTGATTTTGACAATAATACACGTTCCACTGAGCTCAATAAACGAGACAAACATGGAAAGTGAAATGAATAGATAAAAAATAGCAGAAGCTCTAAGAATGCATATTACCTAAAACTTTCTCGAATATTTTTCAAAAAAGAGCAGGTTTCACTGAAAATGTCCCAATTCAAATGAGCGAGGAGATGATGTAATGGATAACTTAACAGGATGATAG